GCAGCAAAGTAATCCTACAGCAAGAAACCAGTTCTGTTTCAAGTTTGAAAACAAATCATGATCAAAGTAATCCTACAGAGCAAAGTAACCCTAGGAATCTAGAAAATATGTAATTCCATCTCAGGAGTGGTTAGGATTCCTTTGTTGCTTGGGAAACAAACTAGAAATACTTGGAGGTGTCATGGGACTAAGTTTTGGATTCCTTTTCTTCATTGGTTAGGATTACTTTCTTGCTTGGGAAACACCCTAGGATTACTTGGTGGTGTCATGGGACTAAGTTTAGGATTACTTTTGTCTCCTGGTATTTTTTTAAGATTATTGTTGAGCCCAAAGGGGAATGTCTCTTTGCGTTTCCACTGGCTTGCTCAAGGAAATTTTGCCATAGCAACCACAATGTTGGCAAACAATGTGCATATATTTGTCTTGCGCAGGTTCCTAAACAAGGTTTAGTGTTTCTACATACACATGTATATATCTAAATATCAACGTAATGGTTTAAAAAAGAAAGGTAGCCAAATTTGTTACGAAATATGTATTGTCACCACATGCAAATCTTGTGGTGCATGGAGGTATTCAAATTTGAACCCCACCCAAAAAAAATATAATGTTTGGTGAGGTCCAAACTTGAAGATTAAAAAATGTTCTTTGTACATTTTGCCGAAGTATTCAGCAGGCTAAGGAGGATTGGACTTGGCGAACACATTTTAAAGGAATCCCAGTGTCAAAAGAAGGGTTTGGAACCCCATTATTTGGGAATGTCTCAAAATAGCGATGCTCGAACATGTTTTTGTTTTTTACCAAAAGAATAGGTTTCGATCATCCCTATTTTGAGACATCCCCATTTGTGAAACCTCCTGGTTATAGGATTCCTTTTCAAAAACAGGAATCTGCTCAAAAAAAATGGCAGGCATACCATTGTGTGCAACGAACCTGCACTTGCATATTGTGATTCCTGCATTTCTCTTTCTGCTGCTAAAAGTCTGGAAGATCACCAGGTCACCAGGGGTGAAAAGATGCTTGAGGTTGTTGCTGTATCGAATGTGCATCATGTAGGTTGTACACCATGTGGAGTGAAAAAGGTAATCTTAAAACCATGCAGCTATCCTACAATATAAGACAAACCAAAAAACAAAACAAAAAGTACAAGTAACACAGTAATCCTAGGATTGCTTTGTTGCATCTTTGTTGCAAAGGTGTTGGCAAATTTCGTCTTTATATGTTGATTGTGTTCCATCCACTTGGGCAGGTAAACCATGAAAACAAAGAAGCAAACATTGCAATAGGGTTACTTTGCTGTATTTGTTTTGGTTTTGGATGGTTTTGGATTGTTTTCCATCCACCTTCAGTAGGGTAAGTCATGCAAAAAAACAAACATTGCAGATTTGTTTGCTACATTTGTTTTGGTTTTGGATTGTTTTCCATCCACTTCGGTAGGGTAAGTCATGCAAAAAAAATGACAAACATTGCATTAGGATTGCTTTGCTGCATTTGTCTTGGCCTTGGATTGCTTTGCATCCACTTGGGTAAGGTGAGTCATGCCAAACAAACTTTGCATTAGGATTACTTTGCTGCATTTGTTTTGGCTTTGGTTGTGGCTATAGTCTATAGTTGTGTGTTTGGTGTGTGGTCTGTTTTCCCTGCGCTTGGCTCAGAGAAGTTGTGGCAATTTCTTGAAGCACCTGAAACCAAACAAAACAACTATTCTTTAGTATTTTTTTCCATGTGTTGTGGTTCAATTTTCATTGTGGAATAGTGGAAGCAAATGAGTTTGATGGTGCACTAAATTATGGTTAGTATATATATATATGTTAGTATATATATATATAGAAAGATATCATGCACAAAGAAAAAGAAACACACACTAAGCCACACACACACAGGTATATGTACATGACTAAGCAAACATCTTACACCTACAATATGGTACCACAATGTCGCCATTTTTGTTTCACACTTTTAGTCTCACCCTTTTGCTAACCCTAGCAGCACCAAAGCAATGGGAATGAAGAAGCCAGCCCCTCGTCTGAAGTCACCTACCAAAAATGCTATTGAACCAGGTTCAGCCATTGAACCAGAGGAAGCAGATGCAACAGTAACAGCTGAGCCAGCAGGAACAGAGGCAGCAAACAGCTAGGAAGAGGTTGCAAACAGATCCAAAAAGCAAACGCCAAAGGCAACAAGCAAAGGAAAGGCCCAAGCAAGGGTTAATCCCAAGAAGAAGGCTACATTGAAATCAACCCCAGCAAGCAGGACAAAGACCAAAACAAAAAGACAAATGTGCTTCAAACAACAGAAGCGGACAACAAAACAGTGGATAAAAAATGAAAATAAACAAACATATATCAAAAAAAATGAAAAGGATAAATAGCTTTAAACATAATTAAACCAATTTAAAAATAGATCAAAATAGGGAAAAATAGTTCTAAACATAGTTCTAAAAATAGTCAAAAAAGAGTCAACATAGTTTTAAAAAATAGTTAAAACAATAGTTTAAAATGGCGATGGAGAGAGAATAGTTAAAAAATAGTGTAAAACATAGTTTAAAAACTTAAACTATTTAGTTAAAAAAATAACTATTTAGTTAAAAGTTAACTATTTTGTTAAAAAAGTTAACTATTTAGTTAAAAAAAGTTAACTATTTTGTTAAAAAAATACTAATAGTTATTTTTTGTCTAAGATAAGGAATTAACTATTAGGCAGAAAATTGTCTAACCTGATCTATTGGGTTTGAAGGTCATTGATTGAAATCGAAGGGTCAGGTCCAAGTCTGCTTTTGCCAGTCATGGCAGCAAAAAGGAAGGTAAGTTGTAAAAGTTTGTGTATGTTTGCCATTTCCTGTGTGTCAAACATGATTTGCCTGACCAATGCCCATGTGTGACTACATTGAAATAGGCAGCCATGACATGTGCAAACTCTGCCATGTGGTGTCATGTCTTCCAACTTCCAAGTGCAAACATTTGCACACATTGCATTTTTTGGCAGCAAGTCTTGAAGCCAGCTTGGGCCAGTGTGACAACTTTCCACAAAAAACTAACAGTAATCCTATCTGCACAAATTCTTGACACAAAGAAATCCTACTTGGTAAAAGTAATCCCACATGCAAAAATACAACAAAAATCTTGGGAAACACACATTTTTTAGAATTTTTTCAAACAAAAAAAAGAAAATACCTTTAACAAAAAACCTTCAAATAACTAAATAACCTTAAGAAAAAACGTAAATAACCTTAAGAAAGGTTATTCTGCAACCTTAAAAAAGTATCAAATTAGGTAGGAAATAAGGAATTACCTTTTAGGCAGAAAATAACCTAACCTGATCTATTGGGTTATAAGTTTGATAACTCATGTCGAAGTAATAGCTAAGATGTGGATTTATAACTTATAACATAAGTTATGGGTTCGGACGTAAACAAGATAGTAAAAAGTTACACAAGTTAACTTTTTGCAGGTGTTTTTTGTGTTCATGGATCTTCGGGGAAAATCGGGAACTTTTTGAGGCTTTTGCAGGAATTTTCGTCTCAAGTTCATCAAAGCGCCCGGTCGTTACATGATGACTGCTTTAGGGGCTCAGGCGCTGGCTGCAGCAGCACGCGCTGCCATGCAAGACTGGCAATACTTATTGCGGCAGACGCAATGGGAGACACTTCGCTCCACAGAGCGTCAAATCAAAAAGATTGAGCTCATGGTTGGATATTTGGTAGCTTGCGGCCTCAGGCATCCCAGTGAAAGGACACAGACTGCAACATGCGCTCTTCTGACTACAATATGCATCTCATGGGTTTCCGGGTTGATTTTGGACTTTTCAGGGGGATATGTAAGGTTTGGTTGAAAACGCGTATGTGTTTGGATGCAATAGCACAAAAAATCAAACAAACACATATGTGTCTGGTGACAAGAAGCAATGTACGTGAATGTGTTTGGTACCTAACCACCACAAACGCATGTATGTTTGATCCCAAACGATTTCCACAAACGCGAATGTGTGCGGAATGTGTGCGGAACGTGTTTTTTTTTGTGTTTGGTATGTAGACAAGAATAGAGCCTTCGCGTATGTATATGCTTCACTGTGACAAACGCGTTGTGTTTGTATGCAAATATACATTAAAAGCATCGCAAACGCGCATGTGTTGTGCGCTCTCTTAAGATGCCACAACAAACGCGCATGTGTGTGGTTGGAAAACCGAAAAAGATTTCGTTTTTTTTCTCCATTGCAGCTCACTTTTTGGTTTTCCGTGCTGTGCTGCCTTCTCTTCGGCTTGTTGCCGGAGCCATGAACGTCGAGCAGGGAACGGTGGCAACCCTCCGGGACGCAGAGATGAATGAGCAGGTTGCAGCTACTGAAGCTGCACCTGGCTCTGAAATGCAATATGCGTCGCCTACGGGCGAAATTAAATTCGTGCTACCTACATGCTCAACACGAGCATTTGCGCACTCAGACACAAAAGGGAAGAAAATACACAAACTTTTGCCTGAAAACAAACAAAACAATGATTTCAACATCGTTTTATATAAATCACAAATTTTGGCACATTAAAAACTTATGCGAGATATAAATAAGTTACAACTGACATATAAAATCCATTAAGTTATGTTAACTTCAAAATAACTTCGATAACTTGACTTATAAATTGCACAAGTCACAAGTTCAAGTTAACTTGGGGGCACCACCTTGCAGGCGATTGCTCCTGTACCTGGCTTCTGAAAGTGCCAGGTATGGGGGGTATGAGAGGGGCCTAGACGATATGCCACCCGGGGGTTCATGTCAAACACACATCAGCCGACAGCCGCAGAATCAAACCGCTGTTTGGCTCAAGACGACAGCCCCTACTTGCGAAGTGAAAAGATCGCCCGCTATCGCTGCTGCTCTGGATCGGGGAACTACTTGAAATAATTGACCATAAAGAACCAGGATTACAACATCAGGCAAGGGACAGGAGTCCACTCACAATATACTCTGGATGTGTTTTGGTCATGGATGCAGTTTCTTAGGATCAAGCTTGGATGGACAGGCATCCTGTGGCAATTTCGGCAGCCACCGGTTCGATTTCGTCCACTCTTTTCTTTCTCCTAAGGGATTTGTTCACTCAGGCCCCGGGACCAACTCCGCCACCTATAGGCTTGCCTTTGGATTTCAGCTGCCCGGTCTGCCCTGAGCCTCCGCCTATCAACTTCTGGTGTGGAGTTGTGGTGGGTTTTGCTTTGTGGCCTCTGCTGGAATTACTAGTCCTGGTGAAACAGTGGTTGACTCTAGCAGTGAAAGCCAGGATTGCTGCCTTTGGATTGAACGGCAAGCTCTACAGGGTCCTTGGATGAGTGGCACCCGAGCTGGCATTCTAGCCGAGCTCGTTGCCATCCGTGAGGACTTGGTGAGTTTGGCTGACCGACTGGACAGGCTTCAGGCCCAGGTGGAAGGTCTTGGTGTTGAGGATTTTGAGTTGGTAGACGGGGGCTCCGTCCGTGGTTTGCCTGCTGGAGTTGCCGCCAAAGCTGCTCCAGCTCCTCTGACCTCGGATCGTGAAAGGACCTCTGCTGCTGAGCAGACAGGGCGCTTCTTTGTGCGCTGCTTGGCCAATCTTCCTGGTGGTGATAGCGGCAGAAGCCGTGTGAAACTCCAGAACCGGCTCTACGTGGTGGTGCGATCCATTCGCGGACAGGTTTTCAATCCTGTTCGTGTGCTCAGCCGTTTCTCTAAGGCCAGGGAGTTGGTCACTGAGACTGGTGTGGGTAGCAATTTTGGTGATTCAATTTTTGCTGGATTTGCATCGCAGTGGGAAGCTAAGATTGCTGTTCAAGAGGCCGGATTGTCCTGGCCTCTTGCTCAGCAGTAGTTGTAATGTCATTTGAAGCTGAGTCTCCGCTTGACCTTCTCAAAGCGGAGCTCATCATAGGAGCCGACGGTATTTCACTTGCTTTCAACCTCGGCTGCTTTTCTCCAGACATTGAAAGCGGGGACACTTTTGAGGTTGCCCTAGTTGCCTTTGACGATCAGAAAGGTTTTCTAGTTGCTTTGCCTGCATCGGCTTGGGACAAAAGAGTTGACAAAAGAAAGCTCAAGCCAGGCACCATCAACAAGGTGCTCAAAGTTGCCGTTGGTGGAAGCACAGAAGAGGACCGTCTGCAGGCTTCTGAGGGCAAAACTATAAACAGCTGGATTGGCTGGCTTTCGGAGGCATTTGTTCCTTCGATCAGTTTTGGTGAAGAAGTGGCTACCTCTGGGTTTGTAGACAGGGACTCAGGGGATCCATGCTTTCCTTTTGCGGAAGCCTTGGTGGAAGCAGCGAAAGACAAGTTTCAAGTTCGCCACCCTGGCGAGGAAGAAGTTCCTCCCGATCGTTTGACTGCTCTGGAGAACCAGTTTGGTCAACTTCGGGGAAGCCTAGAAGAGTTGTTAAAGTTTCACCGAGCCGGAGGAGGAGGAGGATCTGGCTATGTCACTGCAGAAGAAGTTCCAGGCGGCTTATCCAAGAGTCCTCCAAAAACTGCAGGCAAAGTCAAGGCGAAGGCCAAAGTGAAAGGCCCTCCAGTTGGCCCCCCTCCGGGTCTGGGAGCAGTTCACGATTTTCCAGGTCTCGATCCAGGGACCGTTGCTGCAGCCCTGCAAGCTGGTGTTCCTCGGTCTCAGCTGGAAACAATCAGTCGAGTAACTCTCGGCCGACCGGCCAAGCTGGGCGATTTCCCTGCCGAGGAGGAGGCTGCAGATGGCGATGGATCAGTCATGGAAGTCGGGCAAGAGCAAGAAGACATGCCTGCGGATCCGATGGCCAGAGCATTGGTTCAGTTGACGACCATAGTGGGCCACCTCTCGAAGAAAGCCAAGTTGGACCCCTTGGAGGATGCCTTAGAAGGCCTCTCAGGATCTGGGTCTGTGGAGCAGCCAAGCGGTTTAGCCAGGAAGCATGCCGCTTTGATTGCAGCTTTGAAAAAGACTTTCAAAGAAAATCCAAAACGAATCTGGGAGATCATCGAGTCCAACATGGCCGACGAATTCGATCTCAGAGTGTCCCAACCCAATGTACCGGGACTCTCCTTCACTGCGAGAGGCTGGGCCGAGCATCGGTCACGCATTATGGGTTATGCTCGGAGTGTGAGGGCAACATGGACTCTCAGTGGAGTGCTCGATGCACTCCGGAATGGATGTGTCGACGAAGCCCGAGCAAGGTGCTGCTTAGGACTAGCACAGCTGGAGCAGGAGAGTTTGGATCATGGAAGCTTCCTTCTAGCTCAAGAATTCTCATTGGAGCCGCCAGCTCCCTTGTCGTCTTTCCAAGCTCACGCCTTGCCCGATGTCACCGAAATGCCACACACGAGACTTATGGACTCTCGTTGGGTGGATGCATTCGCCCATCGACTGAAAGAGGTGGACAATTACGTGGAGATGCGCAAGAAGTTGGGGCAGAAGTCAAAAGCAGCTCCAGCTATCCCATCTCATCCACCGAAAACAGGTGGCAACGCGAAGGGCAAAGGTGGAAAGGGGAAGCAGTCCGAAGTTGCTGCCCCCCAAGAAGTTCCAGAATGAGTTTGCTGCCCGAAGGCACGTCCGGCCATGCACTTGCGGACTCACGAGTGGATGAAGGTGACCCTTTGCCGGGCTCTTCTACCTCTCAGCCTCTGGCTCTATTCGGTCGGGGGAAGCCGGAATCCGCTCAGAGGTCCGCTCAGCATGGTGCCGTTGACAAGCCCGGCAGCGTATGTCGGCTTTCGAGCGATGAGGGCATTTTGCCCGAGGTGCAGTTGGGTGATGACTCTTCAGCCAGGGTTCCAAAGCATATCCCTGGTGCTGGGGCGTCCTCCATCAGAATTTGGGCATCTTGGAGCAATTGGCATCAAGATCTTTTTGCTTCTTCGACTCCTTTCAGTCGTTTTTACAAGGCACAGTGTTCAAGGTGGCTAGCAGCTAATAGCCAAGCTGTGAGAGAAGAGGACCAAGTTTGGCCGATGCCTCTGCCGTACAGATGTTTTGCTGGAAAGGGCATTTGTGATAGGGAAAGAGGCTTTCGCAGGCTTTTGAATCTGCAAGTTTCTTATCTCAATTTCCTCCACTTGGGAGGTCGAAGCCCACCTTCTGGCATTTGTGGCCCTACGCCACTTAGTTCCAAGCAAAAGGAGGTAGTGGCCAGACTACGGCGCCTCTCTGAGGCATGGAGTCTTCTTGATGAACTTCATGCGGCTGATATGGGCCGAACTGCAGCCAAGCAGGAGAAACAAGAACAAGTTCTCGGCTGCCTCACCAAGATGTGCACTGCGGCTGTGGGTGACCTGAAAAAGTATCGTCTGCAGCGCTCTTGTGTAACTCAAGGTCATGAGAAGGATGACTTAGGCCAAGTGATAGGGAAGATGAATTTTGGTGATTCTGTTGCTGCGCAGCCTATTGTTGCATCTCGAGTTAAGATGGATGGCAGACCATGTTTTGATCCTACCCCGTTTCTTGACGAAGAATCTCACAAGCTTTTTGTCGAACCTTTTCATCAAGATTTACATCAAGAACGTGACCGTTTGCATCCACCTCGCGTGCAGATTCATGCATCCACAACCGAGAAAGTAAAGCTGTTGCATCTGCTAAACAGAAGTGGAAGACTCGTGTTTAGAAAAGTCAGTGATGTTTTCAGAGGGTTCGGTAATGGCTTGTTCTGCGCGTCCAAGAATTTGGAAGTTGACCGTTTGATTTTAGACGGCAGACCAGCTAATCTCCTACAAGTGCCGCCAGACCATTATATTTTGACTATGGCGTCGACATCTGCTCTTTTGGGTGTTCATCTTAAGCCTCACGAAAAACTTCTTTTTTCGGGTGACGACCTCTCCAACTTCTTCTACATGTTCAAAGTGGGACCCCAACGTGCTTCTCGCAATTTCTTGGTACAAAGCTTGTTCGCGATTTTGCTGGTTTCCCTCAAGATTTGCTTGGTGAGGAGTTTGTCTATGCTTGTCTCAACAGTCTTGCTATGGGGGACTCTGCCGCGTGTGCTTATGCTCAGACGTCGCATCTAGCTATGGCATTACAATGCAATGCTCTGGATGGGGACAGTTTGTTAACTATGCATGGTAGGGCGCCTAGGGGATCTTTTATGGGAGGCATCATCATTGACGACTTCGTCATCATGCAAAAGGTTTCGTGGGATGCTCAGGTTGGGGACCAACTTCTGCGCAGGCGTAGTAATATGCATGCTATGTACAAAAGAGTCGATCTTCAAGCACACCCTACAAAAGGTTTCGACAATGTTGACTGTGCAGATTTCTGGGGCGCAAATGTCAATGGAGTTTCTGGATTAGTCCGCGGCAACATTGGAAGGGCGGCATCTCTTTGCTGGGTAACGGCTCAAATTGCTTCTTTAGGGGTGTGCTCTGTCGGTCTCTTGGAAGTCATTGCTGGCGGTTTTGTTGCCCTGTTCTGCTTTAGAAGACGGCTTATGAGCTTGCTTAGTTGGATCTATGCAGTACAGGTCGGTAGGGAACAATCGGATATCATTACTCTCCCAATGGGTCTGGTCGATGAACTCTGGTCGCTCGTAGTGCTTTGTCCTCTTGCTGTCACTGATTTGCGCGCGTCTTTCTCTGAGGAGCTCTACATGGTTGATGCTTCCAACTGGGGGGATGCCGTTGTTTCTGCTTGTATCAAGGGTTCTATGCATGAAGAGATCCATAGGCATGGTGTTTCGAAGGGTTGTTGGACAAAGCTGCTCTCCCCGTTCAAAGGTCATCTTCGGGGAAAAGGTATCCTTCCTGAGGCTGACGAACTTCCTGAAGGCGAAGTTGCCTATGAAGAGCATCCTGTTTGGGAGTCTGCTGCTCGTTGTTTGGATTTCAGTCTTGTCTGGAAGCGTCGTGCAAAGTCTCAACGTCACATCAACGTGGGTGAAATGAGGGCGTATTTGAAGGCTGAGGCGGTTGCTGGGCTAAGGGCGTGTGATCAGCGCGTGCCTGTGGGTGGTGATTCCCAAGTGGTCATCGGTGCAGTGTGCAAAGGGCGTAGTGCTTCGGAGTGTCTTAATGAAGAATTGCGTCGCAGTCTTCCTCAGCTTTTGGGTAATGGTATTTACAGTACCCCTGGGTATGTTCGTTCTGCTCACAATCCTGCTGATGACCCCACTCGTGGAAAGTCTTTGCGTTCTCCTTCTTGTTGTTTGCCCCAATGGTGGATTGATGCTGATTTGGGAGATTTCTCTGGCATTGACGAGTTTTTGTCCAGCTGCGATTTGCTTCCTGAACAGTTGGCTGGCTATGACAGTTTGGCAAAGCTCAATTTGAAAGAGCCTGATCTCCTTGACAAATCCATTTGCAGCTCAAGGCATCGCAAGCAAAAGATTTCTGTAAAAGAAAAATTGAGAAGTCGAAAGGCCTCTGAAGTCAGCAACAATGTTTCACCTTCAGATGAACCCTATCCCTGGTCTCAAGAAATTTATGACATCTTTTGATTTTTTGGCAAGGAGCAATTCATTGACCTGTATTCTGGCAAGAAAGGATTTGCTAGAGCATGTTCTAAGCTAGGGGCAACATGGATTCTCACGGTAGACATTTTGGATGGTCCTCAGTGCGATTTGCTGGATGGAGCGACTCGCATCCGTATTGAAAAGCTTTTGAAGGTGGGAGCCTGTTTGTGTTTTTCTGCAGCTCCCATTTGTGCTTCCTTTTCCACTGCCATAACACCGGCGGTGCGGAGTCCTCTGGAGCCTCGAGGCATACAGCCCATCAGACCTGGCATGGTGAAGAAGATAGCCGATGGGAACAGTCACTCCCAATGGCTAGCACTCATGATTAGGCTATGCATCAGTTGCGAATTTCGTATTGGGTTGAGAATCCAGATGGTTCCTACTTGTGGCGACAGCCTGAATGGCTTGAGTTGCCGAAGGGGATGAGCAGAAAATATTTCAGAGTGGATTTTTGTACTTTTGGAACTGCTTGGAGAAAAAGGACACGCTTTTTGACTTCGTGTCGCTTGAGGGGTACAAAGCGTTTGTGCAATAGGCAGCATAATCATGTTATTCTACGTGGCAGAAGTAGACAGAAGAAGATTTCAATGACGAAGCTTGCAGAGCCCTACCCAAAAGGTTTGTGTTTCATGCTTGCATGGGCGATTTGTGCTGATTTGAACGTTTTGAAGTCTGGCGCCAGTTTTTCATGCCGCTGTGACCATAGAAGGATCGGTGAGGCTAAAAATCCTGGACCGAGACAGCAGAAGCCTGCTACCCGTGATCCGCGGAGGCTCGACCAAGTTGAAATGGTCAGGCCGGAAACAGTGGCGATAGGGTCTGCAGCTTGGGACAGTTTCGCTGAGTGGATCAAGGAATCTATGGGCCAGTCAGTGCTTCAAAGTTGCTGGTTGGTTCCTTCTTTGATGGGTTCTATTATGGGTCATTATGGTCGACATGTTTATGAATCTGGCGGGGCTCTTTTTCGTTTCAGACATTTGGTAGTATATGCACAGCGAATGCACCCTGGATTTCGTGGGCATTTGCAGCCCGCATGGAATCTCATCAATAGATGGGAAGAGCTGGAGCCAGTCGTTCACCGGCGACCTCTGCCTCTTCGAATGGTGCAGGCCATGATTAGTTTGGCTCTTTTCTGGAACTGGACGCGGGTGGCTTGTGTCATCATGATTGCCTTTTTTGGCTGCTGCCGTCCTGGAGAAGTTTTGCAAGCAAAAAGGCGACACCTTGTTTTTCCTGTGGACCTTGCTCAGACTTCAGGTCCAATGTTTCTACGCATTTCCAAGCCCAAGCCTGGGCGGCGCGGGATGGGCCGCGTACAGCATGCAAAGATTTCTCAAGAGTCCATTGTTTCGTTTCTTGAGACTGTATTTTCAGGAATGCATGGCAACCAACCAGTATATCCTGGATCAGCTGGTGCTTTCCGCACTCGGTGGAACAAATTGATGACTTCCCTTGAAGTGCCCTTAAGTACTGGATTGACACCCGGCGGACTGAGGGCCGGTGGAACTGTAAATTTATATCGAGAAGAACACCTATCATGGATATTCTGTGGGCTCTTAGGCTAAAGAATGTGGAAACTTTGCAACATTACCTTCAGGAAATTTCCACTCAGATTACCATGTTTGACTTGTCTCCTGCCGCGAAAGTTTCTATCGGTGCTTTTGCCGATTTTTTCCATTTTGCCTTGTCCATCTACAAGCATTGAGCGGGTTGAGTGCTGCGCGCAGCTACATGTTTACCGCTGCTGGCCTTTTCTTAGAGATGGATGAGCACCACTGTTCAGCACTTCTTTTCTGCATCTATGGCTGTGCTTTTTGCATCTACGAAGTCTAAAAGCAGATGTTGCATGCACTTCTTTTCTGCATCTACGGCTGTGCTTTATGCATCTACGAAGTCTGAAAGCAGATGTTGCATGCACTTCTTTTCTGCATCTACGGCTGTGCTTTATGCATCTACGAAGTCTGAATGCAGATGTTGCATGCACTTCTTTTCTGCATCTATGGCTATGCTTGTTTTGCATCTACGAAGTCTGAAAGCAGATGTTGCATGAAGTGGCGGCGCTCGCTTCTGTCTCTGATCTTATCGCCAGACAACTGTGCCTGTAAAAGTTGGCTGCTGGGTTGAGTGCAGGGAGTGAACACAACACATATATATATATATATGTATGTATTGTTTATTATTGTTTGAGGTCCAAGATTTCTGGGTCATTACTACGGTATCCCATTTCTGCATGGCCAGTATCGGACGTCCCGAGGAGAGTATGAACATGGCGAATATCCGCAAAAAAATGGTTTTTCATAGGGAACATGATTGCTGAACTATGGGATATTGGAGTATTCCATTTTTAGACAAAGCCAAACAACATCAGTTTTTTTCTGCACTGCTTAGCTCCGCCAAGAAATTTCAGAAACTGGCTTGACTCAGGAGCTGATCTATGAAATGCTGGAGTGCGATATGAAGCAGGTTGGCCTCAGCCTTCCTGCAGGAGTCCAATGCACACGACTGGCCTCATTTCAGCTATTTCCAGGTTGAGTTGGTCCAATTCAGCCAGGTTTCATATTGTGGGGATGGGATTGCTTATATTCTCTCCAGATCTACCGCAGAGGAGCCAAGGACATCTTGAAGCGCCAGGACCAGTATTGCTAGGCAGGTCGGGACATGGACATGCACCGCGATAGAGGATGGCTAAAATTGGAGATTTAACCGATAAACAGATGGATTTAACCCACAAGAAAAACAAGGAACTAACCTAGATGAACCCACAACATCTGGATTTCAGACCTGAACAATATATAAACCTGAGGATTCAAGTCGTACAAATGTAGAGTGTCCTTATAGTTTTCCCCGCATGCAACATCACCTAAAATGATGGTAAAATGATGGTGAAACTTTACAGAATGCAATGCTTGTAGAGGGTCTTGTAGATTGGTGGATTTATTTTGAAGCATAGATGGTGATATACTAACCACAGCTGAATGGCCACAAACTTCAGTAAAATTCTTGATGGTGTAGTAAACACCCATTAAAAAAAAAACATAGGGATATTGACCCAGAATGATGGAAAAACAGAAAGATTCGGATAGATTAGATCCCAGGTCTCATCAGTGATTTACCTCGGAGGTGCCTGCAAGCAACTGGCTTACCACTCCTCTTGCCATGCTCAAATCGACTCATTGGGTCCCCAAGCAGGCTCCCCAAACTCTGCTTCCTGTGGCAGGTTCTCTGAAAGTCTTGCTGGATGTGTGCTACCAGGATGGCCAGCTGGTGCAAACACCGGAGAATCCATGCTGAGGGTCAGTCCAAAAATGGATGAAATAACCAAGCTCCTGAAGTAGACAGTGGCTCTGCAAGGATATGTTTGGGGTCCAAGATTGTTTGGAGACATCCATTTCTATAGAAGTTCTATACATGTAAGTTGTATATCCGTTTATATCCGTTTGTTGTTGGTGATACCTTGCTGTTTTTAGTGATTTTCTGTTGGCAATCATCCGGCATTTTTTGGACATACCCATATCAAAAACTGAGGGGGTCATTCAAAGATCTTCTTGGCCAAGTGGCTAGAAAGGCCGTACAAAGCTTATGCCTTGGACACTTGTTGAGTCGCTCCTTTCGCAAGCGGAAGCATCGAAAAAAATGGCAATCCCAAGTGCGAGAGCCAATGTTGGGCCCCTACTAGGTATCGATTGATCAATAAATATATTCGCGGCATGATGGGGTTGTAACCATATTAGCCATCCATAAATGTGGTTAACTAGGAGTTGATTGGGACGATTGGAGCCCCATGTTCTACAAGTCTGTGCCTGTCATCTTGGGTACGCTTCACTGTGCGTACACCTATGAGACGCTCAGGAAGTCCAAATGCTTGCTCGTAGTTTCAAATATGATGATTCAAAACCATTCAAAACCCATAATACCATGTTCTTGCTTGGCCCAACATCAGTTTACCAGCTATTTCGATTTTCGATCTCAGTGCAACCTCCAAGAGCCCAGCACTAGACAATAATGGAGTAAACTATACCAGTATTTCTGTTCTTATGTGGGTCTAGATATGTTTCAATCCGGTGGGAGGATCAAGCCAAGTTCTATGTTTGGATCAAAGATTACCTGGCAGATGGTTGACCCCAACACTTGGGTTCGAAAAATCCTCGATGATGATGACGACGGCGACAAGGACGATATGAGGATACCATGATATGATGATTACCCTTTTGTAATTGAACATAGCTACGGACCAATCCCTTTTTATTTTTTGTTTAATATGAAAATACGTTTAAATACGGCAAACCACTTCACTAAATGTGCCATGTTATTGTTAGATTGTCATTTTTGTGGTGGTGGTGATTGTGGTTCTCATGTTTTTTAGTCATTGACAGGTAATTATAACGATGTACAACAATGATTTTCTTGAAAAGTAGTATTGTTTGTAATCTTCTTGCAAGTGAACGGTCTTGTCATTGTTATTATTCATTATTTGTGTTGTAATTATTAGTACATATTAGTACTACTACTGGTACTATCTGCAACATCTTTATCTTGTTACTACTTGTTTTTGGTGGTGCTTATTTATTAACGGGATGCATGTTTTTTGGACCTGGGCACCCTTTTTTTGGACCTGTACATGTTTTTCCCCACATCTTTGTGTGGGGTTCTTGTTTTTGGTTCTGCATCCCGTCCGCCTCCTGCCCGCCTCCTCCTCCTCCTCCCGCCTCCTCCCCTTACTTGCTCACACACAACTTACTCACACACAACTTGCTCACATACAACTTTACTCACACACAACTTCCTCACACACAACTTACTCACACACAACTTGCTCACAGACGACTTGCTCACACACGACTTGCTCACACACGACTTGCACACACAACTTACTCACACACAACTTCCTCACACACAACTTACTCGCACACAACTTGCTCACATACAACTTGCTCACACACAACTTGCGCACACACAACTTACTCACACACAAACTTACTCACACAACTTACACACAACTTACTCACATACAACTCGCACACAACTTACTCACATACAACTTGCACACAGACAACTTACTCAGACACAACTTGCAGGCGTGGCACTTTGAGACATCCACCACGCAGGCGTGGCACTTGGCGACATGTAGCTGCACTTTGCGTGGCAGGCGTGGCACGTATGGCACTGGGCTGGCTCTGGTGGCGCGCTTGGTTCCCAGGCGGCGCTGGGACGCCGCGGCGTTTTGCGTGGCAGGCGTGGCACTTTGTGACATCGACCTTCACTTTGTGTGGCAGGCGTGGCACTTCATGACATGGATCGTCACTTTGCGTGGCAGGCGTGGCACTTATGGCACTGCAGGCGTGGCACTTATGGCATTGGGTTGGCTCTGGTGGCGCGCTTGGTTCCCAGGCGGCGCTGGGACGCCGCGGCGTTTTGCGTGGCAAGCGTGGCACTTGTGACATCGACCTTAACTTTGTGTGGCAGGCGTGGCACTTTGTGACATCGACCTTCACTTTGTGTGGCAGGCATGGCACTTGATGACATGGATTGTTACTTTGCGTGGCAGGCGTGGCACTTATGGCACTGGGTTGGCTCTGGTGGCGCGCTTGGTTCCCAGGCGGCGCTGGGACGCCGCGGCGTTTTGCGTGGCAGGCGTGGCACTTTGTGACATCGACCTTCACTTTGTGTGGCAGGCGTGGCACTTCATGACATGGATCGTCACTTTGCGTGGCAGGCGTGGCACTTATGCGTGGCAGGCGTGCACTTATGGCACTGGGTTGGCTCTGGTGGCGCGCTTGGTTCCCAGGCGGCGCTGGGACGCCGCGGCGTTTTGCGTGGCAGGCGTGGCACTTTGTGACATCGACCTTCACTTTGTGTGGCAGGCGTGGCACTTCATGACATGGATTGTCCTTTGCGTGGCAGGCGTGGCACTTATGGCACTGGGTTGGCTCTGGTGGCGCGCTTGGTTCCCAGGCGGCGCTGGGACGCCGCGGCGTTTTGCGTGGCAAGCGTGGCACTTTGTGACATCGACCTTAACTTTGTGTGGCAGGCGTGGCACTTTGTGACATCCACCTTCACTTTGTGTGGCAGTCGTGGCACTTGATGACATGGATCGTTACTTTGCGTGGCAGGCGTGGCACTTATGGCACTGGGTTGGCTCTGGTGGCGCGTTTGGTTCCCAGGCGGCGCTGGGACGCCGCGGCGTTTTGCGTGGCAGGCGTGGCACTTTGTGACATCGACTTTCACTTTGTGTGGCAGGCGTGGCACTTGATGACATGGATCGTTACTTTGCGTGGCAGGCGTGGCACTTATGGCACACGCTGTCAACCCCGTGTGTATTTCGAGGAGATGATGGTACATGCTGCAGCTGTAGGCATTTCACACCACGCAGTCAGACAGCAGTGGCACCACGGCCACCACACACAACATCACACTTAGAAAGCATGGAGGCACAGACAACATACAACATGACACGACCGCTTGGAGCCAGCAAACATCACATCACATCTGAAAGCTTTAACATGCTGCGCGGGGAAGTGACATGAGAGGACACAGTGAGCTGTCTGTTGGTTATGAGATGGCTGCGTTGTCTGTGACTTTTCGATTTTGGGGCTCTATGTTAGCTGTGGGACTGAAGTCTCATGTCATGAACTCAGACAGCAATGAAACCATAGCCACCACACATCACAGCACACTTAGATTAGACAATATACAAGAACGACAGCAGAGTCAGCAAGCAGCACAGTACAATTCGACACGACCGCTTGGAGCCAGCAAACATTACATCACATCTGAAAGCTTTAACATGCTGCGCGGAGAAGTGACATGAGAGGACATCGGATGTGATTGCATCGCACCCAAACAAGCGATGTCAACGTAGCATTGTGAGCCGGCTGCTTTGACACGCAGGCTCGTATACTATGTTTCTTGCGTAGCTCTGTGGTGCAGTATGAATGCTTTCTTTGTTCCGTTTTCATGGATGACATTGCCTGCGTTTCTCGCAGCCACGCATCGCTGGCAGGTACTTTTGCATCGTCTTCGTCGTGCCGCACATCCTTCGGAGGTGGTACCCAAGTGGCAGCCAAATGTTTTCCAACACTTTCATTGTAGTTGATGTCGATTTGCTTTCGTCTTTCGGAGGTGGTATCTAAATGGTATCTGTTGCACTTGTTCCGTTTCATGGATGACATTGCCTGCAGGTAGAATTTTGGCTGTCGCTGCTACCAGGCATACTGTGCAAGTCAATCAACTTTGATACTTTGAATCAAGCAAAATTGTGTGTTTTGTTCTGAACATGTCAAGGGAGTAATGATTGACGCAGCATGACGCAGCAGTATGTCCAGCCGTTGTATTGATTGAGCATAGACTGCTGCAAGCGTCCGCAGCCACGCCATGTCGCAGCCGGATCGACGCGGCTGAACGCGGCCACGTGAGCGACAGAAAAAAAGATCACGTTCATGACAGATCAGAACAGTTTCTGTGCAATCGGTTGCCACTATTCTTCTGTTGCTTGCTTTCAGTGGGAGCTCAATTACTGCACTTGCCGCCGTCGCTTGGCAGGTCCACCACGCTGCGATGTCGTGATCTTTGCTAGTGCTGTTGCAGTTGACGGTGCTCATCTGTCTGTTGTCAATCTGTGCTTCTGAAACTAACAGTCTTCGTGACAGCCGGTGTTTTCTGTTGTTCTGCCAGGCACCGACTTCGTCGCGCAGATGCTGCTGTTCGATACATGCATACACACATACATACATACATACATTCATACATACATACATACATAATCATACATACATAATCATACATACATACATACATACATACATGCATACATACATTCCTACGAGCCACAGGGCGCGCAGAAAGACTTCGCACAATTTGCGGTTGCGGTATAAAGAGCGCAGACCATTACTTTGGTCAGCGGACCGAGTCAGCGGAAGTATGGTGAGCACACCATCGCTTTGATAGTATGTCGGGAAAAAAAACAGCAGAGCCTGGTGGAAATCGAAGAAGACGACGCAACTTACCCACAAATTACTTACTCGCAAACAACTTGCCCTACATACATACATGCATACATACATGCATACATACATACATACATACATGCATACCTACGAGCCACAGGGCGCGCAGAAAGACTTCGCAAAATTTGCGGTTGCGGTATAAAGAGCGCAGACCATTACTTTGGTCAGCGGACCGAGTCAGCGGAAGTATGGTGAGCACACCATCGCTTTGATAGTATGTCGGGAAAAAAACAGCAGAGCCTGGCGGAAATCGAAGAAGACGACGCAACTTACTCACAAATTACTTGCTCGCAAACAACTTGCCCTACATACATGCATACATACATGCATACATACATACATACATAACATGTCCGTACACAACTTGCTCACACTTACTCTTCCACACACAACTTGCTCCACACCAATCCTTCACCATCTCTTTTCTCTTTCCTGCTTTCCCCATGCCATCTTTACCTTTCTTTTGCTGCTTGTTGGAAGAAGTTGACATGTGGGGTTATCCGGTGCTTTAATTTGGACCTAACCAGATTTTTTTTTGGACCTAGGGTCACAAAAAATGTGGGGGACTTGCTTGTGTGTTTTCTGGACCCTGTGGGGATATTTTTTTTGGACCTGCATGTATTTGTGCTGGACCCAGAGAAATTTGTTTCGACAGCCAAATTAATTGTTTCTGAGCTCGGTTTCTGTTTTTTTTGACCCGTGCACCTGCTTCGTGGACCTTGCCTCTATAGGGTGGGGGGGGAAACTCCATTGTTATAGGCGCTGGGCTGGATGTTTTGGACCTTGGCGCCTTCTTTTTTGGAACCCGTGCGCGTTTTTTGGACCTGGCACAGGGTGGGGGGAATTTAGATACTGAGACAAGATGCATGCAAGAAGTTGCTGATGCCGGGGAAGTTCCGGTATTGAAACAATGAAAACGTAAGAAGTGGTGGAGGTGCCAATGGGGGAAGTCTACGTATGAAGCGAAATGGATGCAGGAAATTGATAGGCAGATAGGGGAAAGGGAAAGTTCGATATTGAAACAGGATGAGCGCAAATACTTGTTGAGAGATGAGGGGTGAAGCCTAGACATTGAAACGAAATAAAGATACATGAAGATACATGCAAAAGATTGCTGAGAGACGCACGGGGAATTTTGGGACCCGAAAATGAATGCCGGAAGAGGGTGGGGGGAATTTAGATATTGAGACAAGATGCATGCAAGAAGGTGAAACGGGGGAACATGTAGAGATTGAAGCCAGGTGCCCGCAGAAAATTGGTGAGAAAGAGGCAGGTGGGAGAGGGGAAAGTTAGACATCGAAACAAGGATGAACGCAAGAAGTTGCTGAGACGAGAAGCGGAAGTCTAGATATTGAACCCAAATGACGGTGCATGCAAGAAACTGTGGAGAGACGAGGGGAAGCTGAGATATTGAAACCGCATGAATGCGGGAAGCTGTGGAGAGGCACAGGTGGGGGGGACTTTAGGAGGCCACGGTGGAGCCAGATATCAAACCAAATGAATGCAGGAAGTTGCTCAGGGGCACCGGGAATATTGAAGCAAGATGAATGCAGGAAGTTGTTGTGGGGCACCGGGGAGGAAGCTTAGATATTAAAACAAAATGAACGCAAGAAGTTATGGGGAGGCTGCGGGGGAAGTGTAGATATTGAAACCCAATGAATGCAGGAAGTTTAGGAAGTTTGATGAGAGGCACAGGGGGGAAGTTAGATATTGAAACCAGATGAGTGCAAGAAGTTGTTGAGAGACAAGGGGGGGAGCTTAGACATTGAAACCAAGTTGAGATGCATGCAAAAAGTTGTTAAGAGGCCAGAGGTGAAGTCTTGAGACCAAGCGAATGAATGCAGGAAATTGGTGAGAGGCACAAGGGGGGGGAAGTTTAGATATTGAAGCCAGGTGAATGCTCCCAAGTGCGGCACAGAGGTGTGAAGAGTAGAAATTGAGAAGAAGAGGGCAGAATGGGAAGGAGGTGGGAAACCCAACGTGTCACAAGGAGATGGGCACTGCACTCCCTGGAGAGTATAGGTATTGAAGCCCAATGAATGCCGGAAGTTAAAGAAGTTTGATGAGAGGCACAGGGGGGAAGTTAGATATTGAAACCAGATGAGCGCAAGAAGTTGTTGACAGACAGGAGAAGCCGAGGTATTGAAACCAAATGCATGCAGGAAGTTGCTGAGCGGCACAGGGGCGCAGGAGAAATTCGTATATCGAAACAGCATAAAGGCAAGAAGTTGTGGAGAGGCCAACGAGGGAAACCTACATATGAAACCAAATGGATGCAGGAAGTTGAAAGGCACATTGGGGGAAGAGGAAGTTAGATATTAGAACAAGATGAGCGCAATAAGTTGCTGAGAGTTGACGGGTGAAGCCTAGACATTGAACCCACATCGGCTGCAGGCAACGAAGACCGTCATGGTGGGCGCAATGGTCGCAGCTGAGGGTGGCACATGAGTCGACATCGAAATCAATGTAACCTCGTTGGTTAGCATCCGGTCACAGGACGTATGGACATGTAGACGCGGCTGGAATGCAAGAAGATGAATGCAAGAACTGTGTCTGAAGAATTGCGATCAAGACGCAGCTGGACAGAAACTGGAGAATCTATCCAAAGGGGGTATGGTTTGGGAGCAGACCGTGTACAGGAAAGGCTTCCTCCCATGTTGCATGCTAGCTGCTAGCGCGGTCAAGGCTCCCAGACTGGCTATACCCCTCGCAAGCAGCAACGAACTCACCAATGACCCATCCTGGGGATTGCGAAGCAGACGCTGCTAGCGCGGCCCCTGCTGTCCAGGCACGGCAGCCAGGGTAACTGTCCTTCCTGTCACACAGGTTGGAGTGCAAGGCTCCCAGACTGGCTATACCTCGCAAGCAGCAACGAACTCACCAGGATGAGTGTCCAAGTCGGTTCAAGCTGTGAGGACAACACTACATGGCACTTCCTGCCCAGTTGCATGCTAGTGCAGCTCTTGCGCCCTACTGTCTGAAAATTGCGATGCAGACGCGGCTGGACAGTGGACAGAAACTGGAGAATCTATCCAAAAGGGGTATGGTTTGGGAAAGGGCCAGGTCGAGCAGCAGGGAAGGATGAGGTCCAGCAGGAGGGTGCGCAGGTCCAAAAGAAGGGTAGCCATCTCCAAAAGAATTGTAGTAAGGTCCAGTAAAAGTGTCCAGGTCCAAAAGAAATGTAAGGAGGTCCAAAAAAAGTGTTTTCCGTATTAACTATATGATCTTTGTTATGATTATTGCTAAGTCTTTGATATAATCATTTTCATGTTTGGTGGGATTCTGCGGACCAAATGGGAGGCAGTGCCCTTCCAAAGATCTTCGGTTGTGGACGCCTTGACTTGGAGTGGCGGGGAGACCCACAAAGAGCTGGGGTTGATCTGAATTCACCAGAAAATGGTCAAGTCTTGGATGATTTACCTATATCTAGTGATCTAAAATGGTGATTTTCCATAGCTATGTTTAATAACCATAGGTAGATCGACAGATACAGCTAGATAGGTAAATAAATTGGAAGGAGGTGATGGAGAGAATCCTTCAGCCCAAGCTGGGGCAGCCAACCCGTGCTCCCGTGGAACTAGCATAGATAATGGAAGGGATAGACAGGATCATATAGATGGAATTTAGATAGAGTATGCACCGTGCTCGTGTGACGGGATTGGCGTGGTGAATGCGTTTGGGTCAAAACAAGGTTGCGAAATGAAGCAAGTAGAAGGCGCGTTTTTTAATGCTACGCGCACGCGCGCGAGTCAAATAGGTCCCAATCTTCCCTGCCACGCCCCAGCTGAAGCATGGATGAAGCAATTGTGAACAAAGAAGCACAAGAGCGAGATCATTGTTCCTTCAGGGTGGAAAATGAAATTGTTACTGAATCAAAACTGTAGGAAGTGGTGGGCTAATATAAAATTGGATACCTATAGGGAAGACAATTCTACCTGTGATGTGGGTTCCGATGCATAAGAAAACGGGAAGAAAAGAACGGCGACAGAGTGAAAGAGATCAACAAGAAATATAGGGATGAACGTAAGAGTGAAGTGAGTAAATGCACGAAGGAATTTAATGCAAGAAGATAAGACGTGACAAGAGCAAGAACCATCTGTTGGGGTGGGTGGAGAAGGTCAGAGTGAGGGGGCTGGTCAGGTGAAAGGACAATATAGATTAACAAGATTCAAGGCCAGGTTTCTGTAGAGCACAGGCGGACATGATCATATACATATATCCATGTAGATATTTGTGTACACATTTGCAGCTGCATATGTATTACATACGCATTACATGTATGTATTACATATCATGTCTTCAAGATTCAAGATCTCGTTTTACATAAATAAGGTCTTAGGACGTATAATATATGTCCGCAAGATCTTATTTACACAAAATCAGATCTTACGGACATCTGCGCATATGTGAAAACATTTGTGGGGGCATATGTGGCACAAAAAATGTAAACAAATGCGGAAAATATATGTATATAGGTATATACCCTCTAGGCGCCTTATGATTCGGGACACGTACCCTCATAAACCATGAGGTGTATGTACCTTGTTTTGGCTCAAGTAAAATAGGAGTGTTGCAATTTTCTGATCATGGTAGCGGAGCGCTCGGTTAAGCTCCAGTAGATGCAAAACCTTTGGATCCCCATCGAAGCCCTTGGTGACAGAGTTGTAAGGTTGTGGTACCGGTTGGTCAATAGGCTGTGCAGGTTGCAGAGGATCTTCGGCCACTTGGGGCAGCACCTGCAGGAGTTGGTGCAGACCTCGGAGTTCAGGCGACGGCTGCTGAACTCTCGGTTGACTCGACCGGGAGTTGCACGAGCTGAGCCGGAAGAGCCTGAGGAGCAGTGATGGCGACCACGGAGGAGATCGTGGCGCAGATTCAAGCGTTGCAGCGAGAGCTGCAGGAGAGCTGAAGGAGAGAGGATGACCTGAATACTAGACTCCAGGCAGTGCAAGCTTCAGGAGCGGTTCAGGCAACTTTGGAGGAGATGGTGAACACGCAGACGGCCATCTTGGCAGCATCTAAGAAGCCTGACAGGAAATTGACTTTGGTAGACAACCGCGGGTTGGCAAAACCAAACAACTACGATGGAAGTGCGGATTTCTTGCAGTGGAAGATCCGACTTGAGGCGTTTGTGGAGTCAGTCCATGACGACTTTGGGAAAGCTATGGCATGGGCGGAAGATGAAACCGACCCAATCAGCACCTCTTCAATGACAGCCGAGTTTGGAGACGTCAATCCTGCTCAGGAGACAATCCCAGACTTGGAAGCCAAGGACGCGCAGCTTTACGCAGTCCTTCAGACGCTCTGCGAGAAGGAAGCGTTCACGCTGGTTAGAAGCTCAGGGAAAGGAAAGGGCTTAGAGGCTTGGAGAAGACTTTGCAAGAGGTACGACCCGTCGACAGGAGGACGCCGACGAGCGTTGCTCCGTAGCGTGCTCAGTCCTAATCGTTGTGGCAAGGTGGAAGAGCTCAGTGCAGCGGTCGAAAACTGTGAAGACCAGGTTAGACAATACGAGAATCGCCGCAAAACTGATGGCACCAGGCGAACGTTGGATGAAGACATAAAGATATCGATCTTAGCTTGGAGTCGATTTGCCCGGTTGAGGTTGAGAGACATCTCCAACTCAATCAGGCGCGATTTGCCGATTACCAGGAGGTACGCAAAGAGTTGTCGACCTACTTGGAAACGAGGATCGGGCTGAAGCTAAAGGCAGGTTCGTACGTTGACACCGGAGGAATCCAGCCGATGGACATTGGAGCCTTCGGGAACGACAAGGCCACGAAGGTTTGTCATAACTGCGGAAAGCCAGGTCACTTCAAGTCCGACTGCTGGGCACCAGGTGGAGGAAAAGCTTCTTCGCAGGGAAAGTCTGGTAAGCAAGGAAAAGGGCAGAAAGGCGGTCAGCAGTCCAACTCAGGTGGAAAGAAAGGACCTCTGAAAGGATCGAAAGGAGGAAGGAAAGGAGGTGGAAAGGCCACCAAAGGTAAAGACAAAGGCAAAGGAAAGAACAACAAAGGTAAAGGAAAAGCTATGGGCAATGTTGAAGCTGAGAAGGAGCCAGAAGCTGAGGAGCAGGCCGGGTCCGGGGATGCCAGTGGATGGGAAGGTCATGATGAATCCAGTTGGAACAACTGGGCTGAAGGCGGTCAGGGCTCAAGCCTGGAGGGTAATTACCTTTCTCTAGGCGCTTTGCACCGTTCCGCCATGGTGACCAAGTGGCATGATGATTCCGAGAGCCGCTCGGGACTTTCTGAAAGCTGGGTTGCAGCACTAAGGAATTCCTCCCACGTGGCACAGATGCCGGGTTGCGAGACTCTGGAACTGGTTCGTCCGGAGATCGCTCGGTCGACATGATGGTGAGGCTGATCGACGAGAACTACCGGCTGCGCGACCAGCTGAAGGCCCAAGAAGACCGAGGACAGAAAAGCTCGGAACGTGACAGGAGCCGTCGAAGACGTTCCTCACCCAAAAGGGAGCCAGAGCCCGAAGAAAGATCCCGTGACAGGTCAAGGCGCAAGCGGCATGACTCCAAGCCGAGGCGCGATCGTGATGATGACAGACATGGGAGACGCCGGGCCAGAAGTGAGAGCAGCGGCAGGAATAGGGAGCTGGTGGACAGGACAGCCGCTCCGAAGAATGCCGCAAGGCACAAGAGCCAGACCCCAACGGCCAGTGAGAGAACAGTCAGCCGAACCCCACTTGCAGGACCGGGTGTGGTTGCAGCACTTGCAAGTACTTGCAAGTGGTTGCAAATAACTTGTAACCTGGTTACAGGTGTCACAACATAGGTTGCAAGAATGCTAAGTAGCTCAAGTTTGCACTCGCTGTTGCCCAAGTTACAAGTTACTTGTGCGACTAAGCATGCTTAGCTAAGTTTTTATAAGTTTTTCCATGTTGCTTCGTTAAACATAAGCAAAATTACATATAAGTTACTTACAATACTTAGGTTTTTCAACAGTTCTAACCAAAGGTTTTTCTTTTACATCCGGAAAGCATTGTAATTTGATAAACATAATAATTGTGCACATGTCAACTTCTAATTTTCAACGTTTCATTTTTCAAAACAAACCTTTTGCATGCAAACAACAACCATGTTTTTTTGAGCCGAATAAATGCTGGAACGCATTGGCGGTCGATTGATTGTGGGCGATGTTTCTGCGTCCACAGTGATTTGAAAGTATATATACAGAGGTTTGTCTACACTATATCATTGTCGCGGCTCAATGAGCCGCGTTGTTGGGATTCCTTGCAGTTTCACCCATATGGCCAGACATCTGTTGTGCCACTCCGGATTCAGCAAAAATATCAATCTGGTCCATGCGTGCATTTTTTATATATATACTATTTTACATTGTTTATGCATTATTTATACACTATTTATACACTTTTTATACACGTATAAATTGCTTTTTAAAGTTTATACACGTATAAATTCATTTCGTTTCAGGTTTATACACGTATAATTTCATTTCGTTTCAGGTTTATACACGTATAATTTCATTTCGTTTGGGTTTATACATGTAGAAGTGCATTTCGTTTTGGATTTATACACTATTTATACGTATAAATTGTGTCCTTCTTCCGGTTTTTACATGTATACTGTAATGTCATTTTGTTTTATGCACGTTCAGCTTGTATAATTTCATTGCGTTTTCCACGCTGTTTTCAAACGTATAGTTCAAGTACTTCAAATTGCTTTATTTGTCAATTCTTTACATCAACTTCACATCAGCTTCACATCAAATGTTTTTTTGACTTTTGGATGGCAAAAAACCGCCAGCAACTTGATTCTTTGCCAAAGCAAGAACTTTCTGTTCAAAAGAACGCATATGTTTTAAATTTGCAAACTTATTGTTATCTGTGTTTGCGGCCCATTGGGCCAAAATGTACATGACTCTATACATCCCCCACTGCACAGGCACAGGGTTCTGTTCGATTGCTCCAGCCTGCTCCAGGCGTGCGAGTGAATGCATATATGCTCTAAGAATCCATTTTCCAGCGCTTTCCAGCGAAGATTCCTTTTGCAGGACGAAAAAAAACCATGGAAAACGAGCCCAATAGAACATACTTAAACTACTTAAAGTACTTGTAAGTTACTTATCTATACTTGCTTAACTTATGGCTTAAATTGAAAAAACTATTTTCTAAGTTCCGTAAGTATACTTTAACTTTTTTATATGTGTCGCAAGTGCTTTATGTACTTGTAAGTTCCAGAAGAGAAACCGGTCCTGCAAGCAAGGGGTAGCGTTGGCGACTACTTGAAGAACAAGGCCGAAGCCAGAAAGGCTGGTGAAGCAAGATCTCCGACTGCTTCGGTTGGAGACTTGCCGCCCGATGTGAGGAGACCCAGAAGTCCTCCCGGGCCACCTCCGCACAAGCGGAAGAAGCTCGAGATCAAGCCAGAGAAGAAGGATGAGGTCGAGCCAGAGGAGCGCACCGATGCCAAGAACACGAAGCCCAAGAGCGAAGGGGCGCCAGCGATCAAGGCGAAACCAAAGCCCAAGTCGAACTCAGGGCTCACCAGTGGTTCACTCTCGGTGCTGCTTCGTGGCACACTTGCCACACAGCTGATGCTGGACGCCGAGAAGACCGATGACCCCGAGCTGAAGAAGGAACTTGAACGCCAGAGGAACGAGCTGCAGCAGCGTGCACCAAGAAGGTCAGTGATCACGGCAGAGAACATCAACGACCAGTCGTTCCATGACCCCAGGTACTATGCGGATGTTGCGTCTGGCAAGGCGCACCACATCGCGTGGAAGAACGCGAAGGGCCGTCGTCGAGCCATCTTGGACCGTAAAGGTGGTGTCATCGACCGTGCCAGGGAGCGCATGCGCCTGGATGCGGAATGACATGAAAGGCACGCTCAACTGAACTCAGGTTCCAAGAAGCATGATGTGGAAGGTCTCGGGGCCGATGTGGAGACCGAGATCATCGACGAGAGGCGACGTGACAAGGACAAGCCTCTGGAACCTCAGAAAGAGGCTGTGGCTTTGAGCTGCCGGGAGAAGGAATCCTTCCGGCAGTTTCCCAAGGACGAGGAGGAGACCTTGGAGAAGCCCACGAAGAAGAAGGAACAAGGGCCGAGAATCAGAGGGCCCGACTACTACCGTCGGAAGAATGCCGCCCGACGTGAGAGACAGAAGGCCGAGAAGGCCGAGCAGCGGGCGAAGGAAAATGAAGGCCGAGACCGTGACCGACGTCACGGATGGGATCCAGAAGAAGAAGAAGACGATGGTGGTGGTGACACCGAGAGCAACAGCAACTACCTCAGTTCGCTCTTGGCTCCTCTGGGTGGATCGCCCGGAGAGCCACACGTGGTGGAAGAGCGTGATGGATGGAAGAGGATTGAGGTGAATCTGGACACGGGAGCCGCCGCGACGGCGATCCCGACAGATTTGAACCTGGATGGATATGCCCGGTCCCCACCACAGGACGTCAATTACAAGACGGCGTCAGCAGAGTGTCTTGCTGACGAAGGTGGTGTAGTGCTTAAGGGCACAGATGTCTACGGAAGTGTCAAGGTGTTGGAAGGGCGTGTGACCGGAGTCCATCGCACTTTGGCATCAGGCGCAAAGGTTGCGCGACATCACTATATGGCGCTGGGAGCACATGGAGGTCAACTCATTCCCAGGAACTCCCAAGCTGGAAAGGAATATGCAGCCTTCATGGAGAAGCTGCACCAGAAGTACAATTGCATGACACCTGTCAAGGTCCGCAATGGGATCTACTTGATGGACTTTTGGATCGCACCTGGTACCTCGGACCAAGACGTGCTAATTGCTGCTTAATTCGCGAATGCTGTCTATTTTTTTATTGCATACTTAATTTTTGGGTCAAAGCAGATGTTGCTGCAAAACATGCTTTTTTGCACTGAAAAGTGTTGATGTCAAAGCTAAACCATACGTCCAAGCAAACATTTGCTCAATAAGCCTATCTTTTGCAAGGCAGAACTGCGATTTCTGCCAACCTTCTGCGAGCATTACGCTCATTCATCACCAGCGATAGGTGTTTTGCGTTCATTACATCTCGTTGTTTCAGTTTTCGGCCAGCAACTGATGCTGCAAAACATGCCACTGTGCTATGAAAATTGCTGATCTGACAGCATGAGACGTGCTTGCACTTGCAAGTGATCCCAGCAGAGGTTTGTGCAGTTTCTGTTAACTGACTGTTGCGCAGTCATCTTCAGCTGTAGTCGATCTGGGGACTATTACTCACGCGCTTTTTGTCATATGTATGTATGTATGTATGTATGTATGTATGTATGTATGTATGTATGTATGTATGTATGTATGTATGTGTATATATATATATATATATTTGGGGTTTGATATTCATATATATATATATATGTATGTATGTATGTACTTATTTTTATCTTTTGGTTTGCTCTATATCCCACTCACCTTCAGCGACGGAAGTTTCCCACTGAGAAAATGTTTTGGACATTCAATGCTTTTGACTCTGCATGTTGCACCAGCAAAGAGTTTTGAAACCCAATTCCCTCACGACCAAGCAATCAGTTTTTGCAGCCACTATTTTTTGACCAGCGGTTTCCACACACTTTGGTGTTGCAGAGCTTGGTGATCCAATCGCATGTTTTGAAATTACTGCAGGCCACAGATGGGGATTGAAAAAAAAACCTTGCCTAACACGGATGGAGATTTTGGATCTTGACAAACCGTGTGAATTTCAAAAACCACGGCCTATATAGTATTGCTGCCACAATGATCCAGCCACTGGTTTCACAGTCGAACGGCCGCGCAGATCCATCCTTGGCTTCAGTGTGGCAGCAGTAAGACATGCAGTCCCGGTTTGCGGCGCAACATGTTGCAAGGGTTGCTAAATTGTCCAAAGCCCTATACCATGCTCTAATCGAGCAAGATGGTGGAGAGTTTTTGGCGCGAACTGGTGCGCTTGTCCGAGACCGGCATTTGAGAACAAAACGGGATAGGGTTGCCTTCCAACAAATAGTTCATCTTTGTCATGAGGGTGAGAATCTTGACCAATCCCGTTTCTGGACTTACTCAGTAGTTCGGAACGCCATCAAACGCGCCATGGAAAATATGGAACATTTTACATGGAACAGGTTTGTGTATTTTCTATGCATAGCTTTGGATGTCCTTTCACTTTGGTTGAAATTTGTTGTCATTGATGATCTTATTCAGTCCCTCAGGTATGATCGAAGATTACCAGCTTTCGATTCCGCAGTTGCCCGGTTTTGACATGGATGATTGGTTAAAGGGTCAGGCAAACCTTCTCCAGAACATGTCCAAGAATGCACGTCGCAACGCCAAAAATTTGTCCAGCAAGTCTGCGGGTTCCATGGGCGACGCTGTGGCAACCATGCCATACAACGCAGAGGATATATGGTGTCCAATTAACAGTTGTGTTAAGCCTGTTGATTGCCCTCTGTTCAATCAAACTGCATCCCTTCATCCAAGATTGCCTCATGCATCCCATTAGGACGCCCACGCCGAGCTTCCCGATTCGCTGCCCGCCGATGACGATGGTGATGCAGTGGATCCTTGGCTTGAATTGACTTGTTGGATCGGTCCTATATATTTTTTTTCTGAAGTAAAAACAGTCAGAAATTGATGATTGAAGACCCCAATCTAGATTGTTTTTGGATATATAAGAAGATGCAGCACTGTGCTTCTGTATACATGTATATATATATATATATTTTTGTATATATGTTGGATAGTACCCCATGCACACCTTTACAAGAAATGCCTCACTATCATACATCGCAAGGGGTGAATGCCTGCTTGAAGCCAAGGATGTGGACATAGAACGTATGAAGTACCAGCAGGTAGCGGATGGGTTCCTTGATGCAAAGCTGATATTTTTTGGTTTGTAGAACTTTCCACTTTTCAAACTCCATTTGCACGTCAACCCAATTTTCAAAACTCTATTTGGTAGTCAACCCCATTTTTCAAAACCTTATTTGGGAGTCAACCCCATTTTCAAAACGTCCTTTGGGGATCAATCCAAATTTTACAACTTCATGTGGAGTCAACCCAATTTTCAAATCTTTATTTGGTGGTCAACCCACTTTTCAAAATTTCATTTGGAGATCAACCCAATTTTCAAAACTTCATGGGGGAGTCAATCCAATGCTTTTGCAAACCGACAGTTTTCCTGGCCACTGTGCTCAGGGTGCCTTCGACATATGAGCCTTTCTTCAAATCACATGATGGTGAGGAGGTATCTTGGCCCATGCTGATTAGGCGTTGTCGCTGTTGAATCGATACTAGAACAACAACTAGGAAAAACGTATAAGGTTCTTAACTTATCACAACCCAACTTGTAGCACTCCGAGTTCCCTGAATCCGTCACGCGCCAAACGCTGAAAGAATAAGTGAAGGGTCCATCCCAAAGTTCAGTGCCATCCATTCCAGGAAAAGGCCGATGTGCATTCCGAGTCTGCCATGCCTGATCCAGAGCGTGCTGACAAGGCTTCGGATGAGAACAATTCATTACAGTTTGCATTGAAATTCATTTGAACCTTGAATTTATGACTTATGAGTCACAAGATTTGCATAGAAACATCCTGCAACTCAAGCCAAATTCTGGAAACCGATTTCAAGAGAAACAGCCCGTTGAGCCAGCTTTACATTTTGAGGACGTATCTGAACCGATCATCAAGACCAAACCTATATATACTAATCAGTTTCATGGCATATATATATATATAGATATCAGTGTAAATAAAAATATAGATATATTTAGTTCTATTGTGAGATCGAAGGAAACTACATAACTGCCACCTGTCACTTGAATCTTACCCTGAAGGTGACCGAAGTGATTGAGATCTCCGATGGAAAGGCCGATTGGGACCCTAATTGGACTGACGCGCAGCCACGAGAGGATTCAGTTCCTTTTGCGCCATCCCCACCATGTGACACTGAAATTGATGAGACACCATGCAAAGACTGTGACAAGGAGATGAAGGAGGCTGATGTTGATTGGCTTTGGTCGCATGATGGTGCACGCTGGTGGATTGGTTGCCCTGCTATGATGACCAAGGAAGAAGTGTTGAAATCCTGTGGGCCTATTACTGAAGTCCCTTACGATGGTGATGAAGCTTCTTGGAGGACAGACTTGCCTGCGTTGACTGTTCCAAAGACTGATGTGGAGAAGGCTCAGGCTGACGAGGACCAGGGCAACCAGGTTAAGGACAAGGCCGACACCGGGGTGATCACCAACAAGGACAACAAGACCGATGACAATGACAAAAAGGAGGCAAAGAACCAGGATGAGCCAGCCAATGCCTTTGTGACCCCAAAGAAAAACCAGAGTCCCACACCCGCAGAGCCTGAGAAGCCCGCAAAGAGGGCGAAGAAGGAGGCCGGGGAAATTTCATGGACGCCGCTGACAAAACGTGGGTATGATGACTTTATCGATTCGTGTAATGGTTGTGGTCGTGAAGTACATGATCCCCCACAAGATCTGCCTCCAAAAGTTTCAGAAAAAATGCAAGAGCCAAAGGTGATATGGAGACCATGCATACAAACCGGGTTAGCTACATTCAATCAATTCTTTGGGCAGGTCTTTCCAGAAACTTTGGCTTTGGGCGACTTTGTGGCCTACGTGATTGGGCTCGGTGATGATTGGACTTCAGTTCCGTCCTCGACCCCCAGCTACGTTGTTGAGATTATGAAGTACGTCTCCAACCTATGCAATGAATGGGGGCTTGATGACCCTTCTGAGGTGGACTACTGGGTTCGACAGAGGTCGGGTTCTGTGAAAACGCTTTGGGTTGATAGTTTTTGCAATGCCCTCAGGTGCCAACACAATGTTGCAACTATATAATATAGGATTTACCAGGCCCCTTTATTTATTTGTTTATGATTGTGTATATGTATTTATTTATTTATTTGTGTATATATATATATGTAAATATTTATAACAAAAGATACCCTAAGCCTTGAACCCACCCTGTCAGGAACCTCAAAGAATGGACCGAAGAAAGCTGGGCTTGGTATGAATCGATTTGCCGTGAAGTCGATGAGGCTCGAGGGGTTGGTGATGATCAAAATGCTACAGGGGCTAGGAGCACTGCTCGACCAGTACCTTATCTAAATAGAAAGCGACAGAGTTTCTTGAAAATGTTAGTTGATTTTTTTCAACTTGTCAACCTGCAATGTAACAGACCTACATAAAGAAGCCAAGGACGGCTATACCATTGACTTGCCCTATAGCATCCCTGAATGCAGCCATTTGCAACGGGATCTTATTGAAAAGTGCCTGCTCAACCAAGTCCACAAGCCGGTCAACCCCAATTCTCAACGACTGATTGTTGCTTCAAAAAAAGCTACCGAACCTTTGCCCAAGGAGAAGCCGAAACCGAAAGGAAAAGCAAAGGCCACATCGAAGGCGAAGGCGAAGGCGCAGGCGAAGAGTGAACCGAAGAACAAAGACGAACAGACAGAATACACGAAGGCCAAGCAAGCGTGGCTGGAAAGCGAAGAGAAGCTAGTCAAAACATAGACCGGGTGGACCCAAACGTATTAGTTGCCCACATGTTCACGCTTGGTTGACACTTGTCGTTTTCATCTTAGGGTCAAAGACTACAACCGGAAGAAGCAGGAGGAGTTGCCACTCGTCAACAATACGATGGGGGATTTCATGTGGAATCTGATTTTCATATGTGTAATTTTCATATATTTAGAAATTCTATGTGTGCATACATCTTATAATATATATATATATTGTTTTTGTGTATATGCATTTTGTACATTGCAAATGCAAAGCAAACTTGATTTCAAATCTCAGGTGGAAGCAA